GATTTTCAAGAATTAATAATGGGTCCTATTAATAAACTTGTCCTGGTGAGTCTCACCTTGTTTAGTATCCCTTTCGCAAAAAGACATTTTTCAAACTCAAATTTTAAAGGTCTATTTTAAACAAGTTATTTCCCCTTACTTATCATATCATGTTCCTTTCTCCATTGTGCTCTTTGTCAATGAATACAGACCAAATTTCCCCATCTCCTCCCACCCATCCTCACCCTTATGCTCTTTTCACTACAACCAGGTTCATCCTTAGTCCCCATGTTATGTTGTCCCAGTTCAAACTGAACTGGCAAGCAGGGCTTTCCTATGGATGGGCATGGGGAGAGCAGGTCTTGGAGTCTGAATACCATCTGGAATGATATGTTACAGGACTTGAATAACCTTTGTGAAACTAGAATAATGCCCTAGTAGGACTATAGCAGCTGGCAACTAATGCAGCTGTAGAATTAGAAAAATCATAAAATCCATTATGGGGATTTTGGTCAATAGATACTGTTAGAATAAAATGGAACTTGCCAGAATCCACTAGCTGCATTTAGTATTGAGAATAAGAAATTAGAGTTTTTTCCTTTGGGAAAAATATACCTTTCCCTCTCTGTGTCTGCATTGAGAGTTTCTTTAGGTATACGCAGATATGCTAATTTTTCTCCACTGTAGGACACACCATTCTCTCTCTGTTCTTCTCCATCCTATCAAGTCCTTCCTTCACTTGAGAAAGATCTACAATTGGTACACTGCAGGTTATACTGCGTGTGTCAGATGTCCCCTCTTTCAACAGCATCTGGTCTAGTTTTCCTTCAAGAAGGCCATCTCATCAAACCCTTTCCCAGCTTCAAGTATATGTTTCGCGAGATCCATTTCAATGGCTTTGGCTTACTGTAGTAGGTTGCCTTGGAGCTGTGAAATTGAAAGGCTTGATATGAGTTGAACGCTACATTTTTCCTCACTCTTATTTATGCTGATTCAAAAACAAAGTCAACCACATGATACCATGTCTTTCGACAATGGTAAAGCACCACAAAAAGAGAGTTATTTTCTTCTAATGTTAAATTAGGAATTTCCTTAGAATAAGGAAAAAATTGTTGTATCCCTAAAGCTTTGCTTCATGGAGAGCATCTGTCTAGTACCTTTCTCAACCCCCTCTTAACTGGCTTTCTACAGTTAGTTTAATGAAAGCTATGTCCGTATCACAATACCATCACACTTTTTGTTTCTTCCTTTCTAAATATATGGTGTATTAATAGCTGGATCAATGGTATCTTGAAATGAAGAAGAATGAAAGAGTGCACTTCTCAATGGTTATGTAATTTCCTAACAAAACTGGGGGTTGAAGGAGGAGGGGAAAGAATATACAGAAAGGCTGGGGAATTTCCTTTAATAAATTCTTACTATTTTATTCCTGTACTCTTTAAATTCTCTCAATGGCTTCCCCTGTCTTCTACATTAAGCGTTTTTATTTCCCTTTTCTAAGGTCTTTATAATTATCTTCATCTTCACCTCTGCCTTCATTTCCAGAAAAAACATGGGTTTTGGCATTGACCCTATATTCCTGTATTCTTCCCCACTTCTCTCTAAAGACTTTTTTAGATCCTCCAATTTGCTGCTTTGTGCCTTCTTTCACCCCATTCTATATTCTTGGAACATCTTCCCCTTCCTTTTAGGAACCTTCCTCTCCCTCTGAGATGCATTTATTTTGCTAAAAATAGTGACTTCATCAATGTCTCCTACCCTCCCTTCTTGCACCTGAGCCCTTGTCGTGTGTCCCACATTTGACTTACTTTTAAAGTGTGGAGAAAGTTTGTCCTTGGTTGTGTTTTTTTTATAAAGCTACATAAATATACACGTAAAATAAATACTCCATAAATAGTAATAAAACATAAAAATACAGATTTCTCTTTTGTTGCTTGGATACTAGCCAGATGATTAAGTAATGAATAACTCCAAAGTGATTTGGATTTAGAAACCCAAAGACTTGAAGTCTATTCAAAACTGGTAATTAGTAAGTGAGATTCCATGTGCTTCATGGAGTGCACTATACAGTGGCCCCTCTAAGTAAACTTGTCAAATAGCAACCCTCGGCACTTTGCAAGTGAACCATCTGGGCTTTCTGTAGAAGAATTGGGAGCACTTGTAGGTCTTCCTGCATCCATAGAAAGGGGGTTCTCATGTGACTGCATTAGCATTGTAATAACCTTCTTAGAGGTCGCACAGAACAAAGGGGTAAGGATGCTAAAGGATTTGGACATGGGGGAGGGGGAAAGTAGATCTTGGGTTATTACCTGAACCTAATGCAGTACAGTTATGTCAAGAGAGTGAGATTATCTCAAGAGAAGAGCAGGATAAACAGCACAGATCCCTGAGGGAGAGCAGGGTCTAGTGTGCTGAGGGCTAGGTAAGATTTTCTGTCCTCTTAAAAATGTCATTTTTCAGCTACTTGAAGGAACACATGACCTATATTGATGCAGTGTCACCAGGAAAGGGGAGAGACTTGCTACTATGACCAACACTGGGTCTTTTATATAAAAGTACTTTAGGAAGAAAATGTCATTGTCACTAGTACTGTTGAAAATACATACAAGTTGGGAATCACACAACTGTTGAAATACTGTTTAAAATTGCATAGAGAGTTTCTTAGCAGAGAAAGTAAAATTTATTTTAATTCAGCATGCCATACTATAAACATAATTTGTGTGAATTGATTTGCAAGTTTAAAAACATTTTATATTTTTTATAAATAATCCCATGGTTGCTAAGTCTTAGAACTTTTCTACACAATATATATAGTATAAAGCCTGTTAAAATAGCATATTGCAGAGATGTGAAAATGCAACATTCCATCCCCAAAGTTGTCTACATATTCATAAAGCACATTTGTTACTATTTTACCCTGAATTTTTCTCATAAATGAAATGAGTTTTAAAGGCTAACATAGACACTACCCAAATATCATGTCTTACAGTATAGAACATTTTACATATATGATAACCTTCCCTACTGTATAATTCCCACACACAAAATTATCAGAAATGGGGGGGGGGGAATCCTTCATATAAACTGGCACATGAAAGAGAATGTTATGCATGCTGAATATTATGTGCTGTTTTTCAAGTGATCCTTTGATTCAGTGAAGTTTATCTTCATTCTTAGCATTCTAGATGGTTTCAGATAAAATGTAAACATGCTTATTTTAATGGTACATAATGTTACACAGTACCCATGTTCCTTGACTACAATATTTTATTCTGTACATGTGAGGAAGCTGGCACTCTTCAGCTGAGGTCATAGATTGTCATATCAATATGATATACATTTTTCCATTATGTAAGCTATATTTGATGAATGTAATTACACTAACATTTTACCAGTGATAAGTCTAATGCATGCTGATTATTCCAAGAAAAGCCAAATTTCTTTAAAATATATTGACAGATGGTTAGTGGGCTGAGTGTGTGATCAGGATACTACTAGTGCATATCAATAAATTATCAAATTACCAATTTTTAGATACTGCAAGTTACATTAGCTATCTTTTTTTATAAAAGAGATTTCATTTCAGTGGCAGAAACTTAATAAAAGAATGATTTCTTCAGACTTGTTGGGCAGATATTTTTAAATGTTAGAGAATTTAATCGGCTATATTGCTAAAAATGATTATTCTGTCATAGTGTTTAATAATGAAAAGTTAGACAGTATCACACTTATAATTAGTAACTAGGTTTTGTAATTTTGCATAGAATCAGTTCCACAATTTTCTGATATAATTTGATTCTATATACTTTTAAAACATCCACTAAATATTCTCATTTGTGAAATTAGATGTCATTAAATGTAAACTTACTTTAAAGGAACTTTTATTGTGATTTTTTGTTGTTGTTGTCAGTGTTAGTTCTCAAATTTCTTTTTGCATGGTTATCTATTGTTGAAGATTTATTTTATCCAGTGTCTGCTTTTCACTTACTTAAATACAAATTTCTTGTTTTCTAAACATATTAACATTGCTGCTGATATGGACAAGAAAATGTATATTAAGTCTTATTCAGTGACACATCTATCACTAACAACAAGAAGTAAAGTTTTATAATAGACTTGAACCATTTAAACATATTATTGTATTACTGTGTATCAAGTGTAACAAATATTGATACTTGCATATGATCCATGTTTTGCAAAAACCTGTCTGTGCAATGGCGATAAACTTCAGTTTTGTGCTCAAACCACATAATGGCTCAAATCTGAGTCTTCCTCCAGTAGAGAGCTGCGAGAATGTACCGTATATACTCGTTCATTAGCCCGTTCATTTATAAGCTTGCCCTCCCCCCCCCCCCAACGATGGTTAGGTAAAAATAGCAAAAACTGTATGACCCTTTCATAAGCCGACCCTGTATTTCAGGGGTTGGCAAACTTTGGCTCCTGGCCCATTAGGGTAAGCCACTAGCGGGCCTAGACATTTTGTTTACCTGGAGCATCTGCAGGAACGGAGCCCCTCAGCTCCCAGTGTCCGCGGTCTGCCGTTCCCAGCCAATGGGAGCTGAGGGAAGTGTCTGAGAATGGCAAACCACGGACACTGGGAGCTGAGGGGCTCCATGCCTGCAGACGTCCAAGAGGTCCATTGGTAGAAATGCATGAAGAGATCAAATTACACAGTAACAGACTGACACCAGTGCTATAGTACTATCATTCATTGTATTTTTCTGATTGGCTTGTAAGGCTAGCCTTTTGTGAAATGCATGGGTCAAATGTCATGCAGACCTGCAGCACTGCTCTTTTAGTATTCCTTTCAAGCCAATCTAGTCCACTAAACAAACTCTTTGCAACTTTAAAAGGCTGCAGTATTGACATCAATAAATGGATTGGCAAACTTTGGCTCCCAGCCTGTCAGGGTAAGCCGCTGGCGGGATGTTTTGTTTACTTAAAGCGTCTGCAGGCATGGAGCCCCTCAGCTCCCTGTGGCCTGCAGACGCTGCAGGTAAACAAAACGACAATGTATTAGATATTCAATTCAGTGATTCCACAGAGTTTAAAACCACAAAATTTGTGGTTTATAAGCCAACCCCCGCTCTTTGATGTGTCACTTTTTTACCAAAAATATTTGGATTATGAATGAGTATATACGGTATGTAGTTTGTATTATGTTCTGGAACTTGTTTCTTCTCCTCCCGTCACATGGTTTTTATGGAATTGTACTCGGGGTTTATTTCACACCAGGGACATCCATCATGGCAATTTCACCACAACAACACAAGCTCCAGCTCTTCCAATATTGACAGGCACTTCCTAAAAGGAGGAAACACATTTCTTTGCTTAGTTAACTTCATGTAATCTGTCACTCAAAGGAAAGCAATTGTTTTTTCTAGTATATGTAAAATAATTAAATATGTTTAAACAGAACTATGCAAAAGAGTGATTTTGTTTTAAATGCAATGCTTGCTGTTAGCAGAATTTTAATGAAAGCTGTCATGATTTCATGGCCATATGGGACTTTTTAGTTAGTGGAGAGCAAACTCAGTTTCTTGTGCACCAAAAGCACGGGACATGCTAGCTACAGGACAATCTCCGACAACTATAAATAATAGCAGATGGTCTAGAACACTGGTTCTGAATCAGCTGTATGTGTACCCTTGGGGGTACATAGAGGTTCTCCAGGGGATACATCAACTCATCTAGATATTTGCCTAGTTTTACAACAGGCTAGATAAATTCAGTACAAACTCAAACTTCACACAGATAATGACTTGTTTATACTGCTCTATATATTAAACACTGAAATGTAAGTTTAATGTTTATATTCCAATTGATTTATTTCATAACTATATGGTAAAAATAAGATAGTAAGCAATTTTTCAATAATAGCATGCTGTGACACTTTTTTGTATTTTTATGTCTGATTTTTGTAAGCAGGTAGTTTAAGTGAGGTGAAACTAGGGGGTACACAAGAAAAATCAGACTCCTGAAAGGGGTACAGTAGTCTGGAAAGTTTGAGAGCCATTGGTCTATAAATCATAAAGTTGAGTACATCTTAAAATACCTGCCAGTAGAGGGCAGTGGTGACAAACATTAGTCAAGGCAATACTAAATGTATGCAAATATCAGTATTTTGATCAACATGTAAAATTCCACCAAACGGGATGAATCTATGTGAAACTTAATTTTTAGGAAGAAAGAGAGAACTGAAAGAATCAGTAGGTTTATTATAAAGTGAAAGTATTTCACCTTTCACTTCTACTTTCACTGTGGTTGATACATTATATTAGGAGCAAATAGTCTTCATTGATTAAAGCTGCCTTTGTATTCACATGTTATCAAATTTTTACCTTTTTCTTGTATGTTCCAAAATCTTGTAGATTATTACAGCACATTAGAATTGTATAAATTTGCATAGCTACAGTACACAATATTTAGTTGTGCAATACAGCTAAATTGTAACTGCAATCAAACAGTATACTATATACTTAAGGTGTTCTGCTTATCAGACTCTGAAAATGGCTGGGCATCCACTGGCTTGGGAAGGGGGGATTGTATTTAACATTTGATCAAATACATCTCAGTAATAGTCTTATGTTCAACAGAGCATATCCTGGCCTTGGCCCCATTATAAGTGTGATCAGAACCCACTGTTGAGGAAATTTTAGAAAAGCATTGAAGCTTAAAAAAAGTGTGAACTTGTTTATACCTTACAGAACATTTAAACAATCTCACTTATCTTTAAAAATCAGCTTTATGTAATCTGGGACCACAAATGCTAATAAACATTAATCATAATTGTATGCTCATTGCACAGCATCACTACAGAGCAACGTAAAAGTTGTTTGAGTGTTTTGTTTGTGGACTACCAAACATTAACATGCTTGGATTTCTTTTAAGGTTAACATTATCTCTGAATTTCCTGAATTTGCTTGCTTTTGAGATTATTATATCCCTATAGTGTGTTACTATAAATTATTAACGTATACTCTCAGTGTTAATTCCATTTTAATATAGTTTTTGTTTGGGAATTAACTTAATGTCAGATATGAGGCACTACCAATATTTTATACATACGCAAAGTATTATCCTGATTTTCTATGTCCCAATGTACAGCATATGTAAATTATTATTTAGGTTTTTAATGTACTCACCTCTGTTGTCCCTGTAATAATTAGTATCGTGCCAAGTTTTTAATATATTTATATTTACCTCTGTCCATTCATTATTTTGTGCATCATATGACTCCACAGTGTCCAGGTAACTATGTCCATCATAGCCTCCTATTGCATATAATCTGTCCCCAAGAGGACAGACGCCAACAGCATCCCGTGGTACACTTAAAGGTGCCACTGTTGTCCAGGTGTCAGTTTTAGGATCATATCTAGGATATTTTATGACAGTGATTAGAAAAATAATTGGTCACAGGTAAGATAATGATTATTGCATTTTTAAATTCTAAACAACTCAGATTAGATGAACTATAATACAGAAGAAAATGAACCAATTCATGGACAATTACAGTTACCAGCAGAGAGAGACAAAAGTAAAATGGTTTAATATTTATTTAGCCACTAGAGGACTCTTCAAGCACACACACACAATCTTTTCTCATTTTACAGGATAGAGTCACAGCCTGTCTATTCTCCTATCATCTTAGATGCAATTATTTCATGCTGTATAATGTGAAGTGTGTAGCAATAATATTGTGACAGTAGCTTAATCAGATAAGCAGATTTCAATGTATTTTTCTTCCCCTTTGCTCATAAAGCATGCAGCCACTATTTCAAGCCAGAGTTAACATTTAAAGTAAACTTCATTGCAAACCTGAAACATTTCTCATGTAGGTAATATTTATTTTCATTCAAATATGTATCTTTATGAAAGTTGGCAACTCAAAATACATACAGTAAATTTAACATGAGTTTTCAGTTTGCTACTGCCTATACAATCACTTCAGGATACACTGGTATAAATATCAATTCCCCTGGAGTTAAGTTATTCCAGATTTACACCACTATAACTGAAAGCAGAATTTAACTATTCTGTCTATCCCCTCTGGTGTTTTTCATGTTCACCAGTGTTTCCCTGGCCTTTCTCAAAGCATCACACTGCAGGAGACTCCCAACAGTTCTTTGTACATACTGCCAATACTGCTAACTAAATGTCCAGAAAAGTCACTGTTTAAGCAGGGTATGAGCATACTCTTATCCTAATTCCTATTGCAAACTGAGATAGGGGCGGGAGGGGTTAGCACATAACATAACAATATTATTGTTCTTAAAAAGATGTGTCCAGTGTAGGCATTTTTCTGAGACTCTGTACATCTGCTGGTAGCACCTATGGAAATATGCTTAAATAAGGTTCATTTAAAAATCTTTGCATAAAAGGGTTAATTTGAAAGCTTTTCTTCAATAAATGCATACAAACCCAGCAACTATCTTGTAATATCTTGTTGCTATTCATATTTAGCTCATGGCTTTGAGGTTTTAAGTGGGACTTAAATGGTGCATAGGCCTCATGTTGGGTATCTGGATAGGGATGAAGCTGACTTTTGTAGAACAGTAATTTAGGGAGGGAATATGCCAAATGTGATCAAGCTTAATGTGCTTCTGAAACAGCTTTGTAAAGGGATGAACGAGTCCTCCATTAGTCATGATAGTTTGTACATGCAACCTAGGGGGTTGGTGAAAATATAATTCATTCAATTGCCCTTCTAGAAGTAACACATCAGTAGGACTGATAAAACCTTGCAGGATTCTGCTCCTGCTGGATACAGAAACCCAAACTTTTAGGTTCTTTTAATTTGTGTTCTATATGAACCCCAGCCTCCCAAAAAAAATCAATTTAAATTAATCTATAGTGTTTGGTTCTGCTTACTAAATAAATGTAAGATCAAAATAACTCTGACCATTTCATTATACAGCTAAATACTTAAAATAGATTGTCTGTAGCCATATATTTTATAAAGCAACACCTACACCTAATAATGTGAATGCAGGGTAGAGCATTTTCCCTGGGTATGAATTTCCTTACTTCTGCCAGCTAAATCAGAACCTTAACATTATTATAAATTTACTTTTGTAATATATTTTGCAAATGTAATGTTCCAAGCTCAGGGATTTGTTTGTTGTACTGTAAGTAAATTTGTTTCCAGAGATATAAAAAAATAAATAAAAATCCTTACCTTTCCACACAATCAGAAAGTCTAGAACAGTGGTTGGAAGCTGGTGCATCATGACCTCCCACTGCATATAAAAATCCATTGTATGTTGCAACACCAACACCGCCTCGCCTCTTAGACATTGCAGCACACATACTCCATTTGTTAGTATGAGGATCAAAACATTCCATGGATTTTAAGCAGGAGCTGCCGTCTCGTCCACCAACAGCATATAATCTATAATAATCCACATAAGGATAACACAGTGTTGTAAACATATGTTCTGTCTTCCCTCATTCATTTGATCTTATTTGTTTAGCCTCATTGAAAATGCTTTAAAATAATATCACAGACTGAAATTTGGAACTAAGTATACACCAGAGTTCTTTTTCCATAGTGTTTTTTGGAGAATATGATTCTAATCTCAAAGGAAAAGAATGCTACCATATTTTTGCATGTCTCACTATTAAGTATTTTAAGTAGTATAGGAAAGAAAAATAAGATTACAGAGCCTTTTCACATGAGCTATTCATTAAACATAATCTGAAGAGACAAAACAGGAAACAGGTAGTCTTAAAAATAATACTGTTTTCCTACAGATGCTACAAATGTTTATTTTTGGATGGTTGACTTGTTAAAAAAGGCCTTGTTAAACAATGTTATTCCATTAACAATTTAAAACTTTAATAAACTGAATCTTATATCAGTTAAATTATTAGACACATCATTCCCCGTGTCTGAAAGACCTCAAGGTCGATTTCAGCAGGGACCTGTTATATCCATCCTTTCTATTAAACTTGTGTGAAACTATTGGAGGACATAGTGACATAGTTTGCACTGTCTTGCCGTTAATATTGAGATGACATTTTCCTTTCAACAGTATGGTATCTTTTGTTTTTTCCAGTGCCTGGCTAACATTAGGACCTGGATTAAAATGATCTGACTGAAGTTCAATCCAGGTAAAACACCAATGATGCTGACTGGTTGGGAGCAGAGAGAATATGGTGAGGATGGTGCTTGCTCCATGACTCAGGATATTTTTCAGCCTTTTTTCAATAACTTTTATAAACCTTGGGGCCCTTCTAGATTTCCCACTGTTTCTTGGGGGTTGCTCCCAGGCAGCTGCAGTGGCTTGATGGTGATTAGTGTGAGAATTTATTTCAGATATGAACCTTATCTGTTATCCATGCTGCTTTTGGTTCCAGATTAGACTTGTTCAGTTGCTACTTACAGATTGCTCAGACATTATAGCTAGTGCAGAAGGGACCAGTGTATTTAATGGTACCTGAATGGGGAAAATTGAATGTGTGCTTGAAAGACTGAATGAGTGTCCTATTCACTTTTAGATGTAGTTCTTCAAGGTCATGTTGATCTTTCAAACCTTGCATGATGTTTATCCTACACTCCAGAGAAATCATCATCTATCTCCATGAAAACCATCTTTACAGGTGAAATCAGATGATATAGTCTCACTAGAGCTGGTCAGGAAATGTTTATTTAAACCAAACTTCTTACTCTCAGCACCTAAATTTTAACATTTAAAATAAACTGCTCGTGGCAGTTTATTTGACTCTGGCACACTCTTCATTGGTTAGACCCTTCAAAGCTCGAGTTTTTGAATTCAGGCAATGGGTAAAGCTCACCTCCTTACACAGTTGTTTTGGCTGAGGAGGTATATACCCGAAGGATATTTTTTCTTAATGTAAGAATATATGCAGGCACAATATGATGGGCATGTTTTAAAAATTAAATATAAGATGTACCTCTCCCTTTTTCTGAGGGGAAAGACCAAATACCATTATAAACTTGTATTGTTCCTAGGTGTTTCCTTGGGCAAAACACATTGTGTGTATTGAAACTCCATTAAAACGTTTTCTGGTGTGGTTAATAATTGATGGTCAAATATTCTAATTTCAGTACCACTGCTTTAAAACAATAGATCCTGGGGAAACAAAGGAGATGGTCTTTAAAAGTCTACATGGAAGCCTTTCACCAAGTTGGAGGGCATTAGTAGGAGCTAAATGAAACAGAGTTTAACTCATCATATCCCCTGTTGTGCAGTAGATTGCCTCACAAAACTAACAGACATAAATTAGGTCAGGTTGGAGCCAGGCAGCCTGTTTCAGGATTGCTTTAGGCCTGAGACATCATGGGGCTGGATTTCCTCTTTAGCAAAGGGATTTCCTGCATATCAATGTAGAAGACACTAAGAGGAGTTTCTTGTAAAATTTATACTGAGGATGTCTGCAAGGTATTTCCTCTGTGATAAAATGGGCTTGAATAGCTAGTTCTGCTTCTCTAAATGTTCTGAGTAAACATATATATTAAACTCTTAAGGTCATTTGCCAGCTTCATTCTGCCATTGCATATTTAGGGTTATAATTTTGCTTGAATTTGAAAGCTATATAAATGGATTTGGCAACATGGGATGCAGAGGGGTGTGAACTAGGGGACCTTTTCATGCTCATCCATGCCCCACAAAACATCATACTTAGAGGCTTTCATAGAATGAAACCCCTCTCTCCAAAAGCAGCTGGTTTTCCAATTTGCTTCCTGACTGGTGTGTGGGGAATGGAGGATAAAATTGATCCTATTGTATACCGATTTAGGAATTGCTCCACCAATGCTGAAATGCTGCAGCCCCTTATTACAGAAGAAAATAAAGTGTGGCTCACTACACAATACTGGGAGGAGGGGCAATTTTTAGCCCAAGATGCATGGATCCAATGTCTACTTTTGTGCAAAGTTCCTGGGGATCTGTAGTGTCTCTGAACATCCATTTTCAATTCTCATCTGAAAGACCAGGAACAATAAACCGCATGGAACTCAATTTGTCTAGATTAGATGGAAGAAAGGCTATATAAACACTGACAAGATTAAAAACTATGGCTCTGGGGAGATAAATTATTTCAAACCTGATGATTAAAACTTTTCCTTCCTTCTCTCTGTACTGAGTATTTTTTCCCTTTGTTTCTTGTTCTATTCTTATTTTGGACTCGCTAGTGAAGGGGGTGATGGGGTTTAGGTTTACAATGGTTATTTACTTGGTGGGCAAGTATTGATTTAACTTGTGGCTCCTTCTAGACATTGTACCAGCACTCTATTGCTGATTTTACAAGGTAGAAGTAAAATGAAAACCTTTCTTAAAAAGCTAATAGATCAAAAGACCAAAATCTAAAATTCTGAAATGACTGTGGTATCATTTCAAATTAGTGTAACTATGAATAGCTAAAATACCATAAAGATACAATTTATGAAGGGAAAATTTGAAAGGATATTTACCACAATAATTTTTTGAGGTTGTGTGATCTGGGATGATATGTCTTTCTGTTATTATACAATCTTAAGTTCTCTTCAGAGAAGAAGTTATTAAATATTGGAAGTAAATTGTCACACCACATATCTGAGCAAAAGTAAGTAAATAACCTTCCAACCCACCCCCAGTCCTTCAGCTTGTCTGTTTACATACTTGCTATTTAATGCTGCAACCCCCACTGTGCTTCTAGGAGTTGACATGCTAGCAACGTAATTCCATTGCCGTGCCTGGGGGTCCCATCTTTCTACTGTATTAAGATAACTCCATCCATCATGACCGCCAACAGCATACATTGGTCCTTCAAGCATTGCTACGCCTTTGAAAAATAGAATTAGAGACAAAATTAGATAAGTCTGACATCAGAACATTTCAGTAACTAATATTCATTGCCTGCTATAGTTATGGCTTTTCATTTCTCTAAAAATGTCTTTACAGAAAAATCACCTCATATAAAGTCTACATGACACTGAGCAGAATGAAAGTCACATACATTTTATGCAAATATAGTTTTTCTGCTGGGAAAACACAGATTTTCACTCAAAGATAAACAGGGAAGCAGTTTTAACATGGACACTTCCCGCTTCAGGGTTTGGCCATTTCCATTTGTACTGAACCCTTCAGGTTAGTAGTAGTAGTAGTATTTATTAATATGTTTAGAAGTTGCACATAAGCTTTGCATTTGATGCTGTGCATTTAGGTACAGGAACAAGTTCATTCAGCTTCTATGAAGCCTTTGAGTTTTCTCATTTCCTTTTCCTTCATATTGTTGAGAATGCTTTATAGTATGTTTAGTTTTTGTTTGTTTCATTTGAATCTGGATGCCTAAAGTTAGGCTTTTAAATCCATATTTACAGACCTAAATATAAATGGCCTGATTTTCAAAGACACAAAATCTAACTGAAGCTAATAGGAGCTATAGGTTCAAGACAGCTTTGAAAATCAGGCTGATTTAGGAACCTAACTTTAAGCATTTGGTTTTTAACATTATAGTCTATATATTGGGTGACTCCTGCCCAATTGAAATCAATAGTAAAACTCCCATAGATTTAATTGTAGCTAGGATTTCACCTGTTTTATGTAAAATATATATATAGCTCCTGCTTGTCTTATCAAAGCAAATAGTTGCGAAGTTGACAGACTTGAAAGAGCACTTTAAGCTGTGATGTCAGTACAGAGTACTTGGTGGAAAGGTAATACATGCCAAGAAATCTGCTTGAATGGTTATGAATCTAATGTCATCAGTCATTTGACTTTTTAAATTATTATTCTTATTGTGTTTACTGTAATGATTATCTTCGTGAACAGCTCAAAGATTTTCATGAAATACATGTTTCTAGAATTGTGTCCCTCTCAATTCACATGCTACAATTTTCTACAAAGAAGGATTTTCTACCTTTTAAAATCTTGCTTATATTGCCCACCCAGCCTTAAAATTGTCCCTGTTTTTGTTGTTCTGTAATGGGAATACACAATTGTATGATTACTGTTGATTTCACATAGTCATTAAAGATGTATAGAGGGATATAGTCTGAAGGCATATTAAGTTGTATAAGCTTTCTCAATGGGAGAAGGTAAAGTAGAAGAATATTTTTCTCAATAGAATTGAAAGGACAAATTCATTGGTTGTTGTAAAGTGTGTTGATTATAGGATGTAAGTGTTTGTAAATATATTAGTCTTTGCACACTTATATTTAATTAAATATATTTGCCAGTGTTTTAGGTCCTTATTTTCAGATGTGCTGAGCACTCCCAATGCTAATTGAAGTCAATGGCATCTGCAAAGTCCATTGTGTATTGCAAATAGATCCCTTAGATTGTCAATGGGATTTTAGATTTTCCTACTAATTTGTTACTTTTACCTTTGTATATATTTTTGCAAATGTTCAGAGCAAAATTAGCATTGAAAGGCCAGTGCAAGTTTGTTAGGATAATAACAAGGAAGGATTTTATAGCAGTGGGAAAGTAGCTGGATTTGAAAAATATCCTGTATAAACCATTGCTTTCTATTGGTAAATATTTTAAAAAATTATGGCAACAGTTAACATTTACATTTATCATCCTTAAAACCAGTAGTATTAATCTGTAAATGTGGTGCAATGTATATTGTACAGTAACTCTAACTCTTACCTAAGCCGTGTCTGTGAGTTGACATAGGAGGCATTATAGTCCAAACTTTGGTAGCTGGATTGAAACATTCAACTGTATTAGAGGTTTTCAGGCCATCTCTTCCTCCCACAATATAGAGCTTGTTGTCAATTACTGCTACTCCAAACTGCAATCGTCTACCATTCATGGTACCAATTTGTATCCAACTGTTTGTCCTAAGGTCATATTTCTCAATTGTAGTGGTACCTGTTAAAAACATAATTATCAAAACTTTAAATAGCAGATGGTCCTTAGTGTTTAACATTCAGTAGTTTCTATTCCAACACCCTCTCCACCCCGACCCCATCACCCCTCACAAATACCATTACGAAATTTGAAGGCTTTGACAATACTGTGCATTGACTCTAATTGAGATCTAGTTCTTGGGTTGAAAATTGTGGACTTACTGAGACAGCCGCATTAAATGCATTGGTATAGCTTTGTCAGGCATATAAAAGTAAATCAAGCACTAGAGACTTCAGGATTAGATGTAAACAAATGTTTTGGCTATAGTTAATTTTGCAAAGTTGTTAAATTGATGAGTTACTCAGGTATTACGAGGTTCTCTTCTTTTCATTTCCTTATGAGTATGATCTCACTGTGGTGCCTAGCAATATTTGTACTTAAATTGTCACAACCATAAGAAAAATTGCAGATGCCATGTTTAAATATCTGCCCTTTAATATATTTATGAATGTATATGAATCCTGCATGTGCATCCAGAACAATGTTTATGATGTACGTTTTACTTAATTTTACCTTGTGTGTTTTTTAATAATGTGCTTGCACACTGCTAGTTACCACGAATTCCAACCACATCATGGCCTTGAAATAATCCCAAATCTGCAATAATACATGACCTGTATTTTCACTTTTTCTTTTTACATTGCTGTGTTTTTTGTAATGCTTTTAGTGAAAGATTCCATTCTACCTCTTTAGGACCCTGACTCCATGCCAGTCAAAATTTACACTTTTCAAAGCAATGGCTCCTGTCAGTCATTCAGTAGCTGCTGTTGCTTCCATAAGTGCTGATTTAACACATCAGGGAGGCCACTGCCCAATAACTAAGGTAGGCAGGAGGCAATTGTTAATCATACCTATGAGTCCGAAGCTCCCTTCTAGCATGATTGGGTGGATTCATTCACGTGGTCCTGAAGGCAACCATATGGAAAAAGCAAATCGATTTTCTGCCTGTCCCCTAATGTGAATAAAATCTACTAATTTTGATAGAAGTGAAGGCAAGTACCACAGAGCTGTAATTAGCAATTAAAGTATGGTTTATGGCACCAACACAACAGCAGGAAGAAACTGGAAAGAAGGTTTAGAATTTACTGCATAGCACTCTCACAAATCCAGTTGGGAGTGACTCCACCACTGTGCTTGTTAAGTGTATTGAAATAACCAGAACAATATCTAATGTTCTCTTTTTATCTCCTTCTGGTGGCTGTTGCATGCTTTTCAAAATCCAGTGACTCTTGAAATTAATCTGACTAATCCCTACTGCTCTGACTAACACCATGGAAAGCATTGCTGCCTACCAGACCATCTGGAAATACTGATCCAAATACATTGGAGGAATAGCGGGGCAATGGAACTAACAAGATCAAGAAGTTTAAAATAACATTTTTAAATGTTTTGTCTTTTTATATTTTGGCTTCTCCCCCTTTCCCTTCTGATCTTTTCCATTTTCCTAGTTTTAAACATTCTTCATCTTCCCTAATCTCTCCTTTTTATTCTGAATTTGTATATCTCTTTCACTACCTCTTTCACTGCTCTCTTCATTTTGTTTGCCTATTTACTACTCATTTCCTTGACCCCTACCCGTTTGTTCTGCTCTCCTAATGGGTGAGCTTTCCCAAAGTCCTCCAGTCTGATTATTTCAAAAGATTTAAAGAAACATTCAACCCACTAATTTTAAAAGTAGGTGAAATTACATTAACTATGTAAAGTGTATCTGTGCATACCAGCTGTAATTTTCAGAGGAGCCTACAGGAGTTAAGCACGCAACACCCATTCAAATTCAATGGATTTGGGAACCTAGGTGCCTCTGAAAATTTCAGCAAATAAGCTTACTTTTGATCTTTCTTTAAGCTGTTTCATGATATCCTCTGATAAATATGAATGGTACTAGGTATGCCTGGTACCATAGGTTGTTTTTATTTTTTTTATTTTTTGGTGGGGGTGGGGGGTTGGGTTTTTTGTTTTGTTCTCCTAACAGAAGTGCATTATTGGCAGAGGTGACAATTTACTCCCATTCCATGTTGTCGTAGTAGTGTACAGTAGTTAGGTGTTGATTTTATCTTACAAATCCAATGCAGGCTCAAGATGTGAGTCAGAGCTGTCATGGGAAAGTGGGGAAGTACTGACTTCCTAACCATCAAAAGGCGAAAGTTCAAACAAATGGATTCTTTCCAAGATAATGAGTAAAAAGAGTCACTGATGGGAAGTACACATGTTCATTAAAAATGTCCTTTCTTTTTATAGTACTTGCTTGGAAAACAAATTGGATTTTTTTTCTTTTGATGGGGGATGGGGGGGAACTAGTTTATCTTTAAGCTTCCAGTTCTTGGTAGCAGATGATTTACACAGTTCATTAATGCTTAATATTGTTCACCAAAACACAGATATAAATCCAGCCATTACAATATAATTTTATTTGATGAAACTGACTTTAGGAAAGAGCCTCGGTTTCTTTCCTTTATCTAGTGATAGTTGCCATCATGTATGTTTCACATTTAAAAGACTGTAGAGTTGCAATTATTTCAGACTCTTCAGGAAACACAAATCAATCATGCTAACCATTTTTCTTGCTCTTCATAACACTAGCTTAATGGATATTTGATGTTTAGGAGGTGAGCTGTAATTTTAAAGGAACTCACTCAGTATATGTAATACTTTTAAAACCTAAAAGTGGAATGGGCAACTGTCTTGAAATGCTATTAATATTCGTTACATGCAGCAAAGGAGCGAATCATTAGTCTTGAAACTAATTATAACCTCTTATCATGCTGCTTATTTTCTGAAGAGTGGGAGCTCTGTGACGTAGCCCTATGACATTTTGGAATAATTGTATTTCCAGGCTCATGCACTGTAGATGTGAGGGTAAGGTTTGCAGAACATTAATTAGCATGTTCCCTAATGTATGAAGTATTCCATTTTTAAAGGGACAGACATAAAAGTATTACAGTTCACATGAACCTGTACTTCTGGCCTCTTTTTAGTAGTTTGAAAAGGCTTAGTCACAGAATTCTGCTGAATGACATTTCTATGTATAATTCATAGTAAATCATTAAAGAATAGGATGCAGACTGTGAAAAGAAACTGCTAAGTGATATTTCCTTGATTTTTTTTTTGTTTTTGGTTGTGTACATGCCATAGTGACTGAACATGACTTCAGGTGTGGGAACCCTGTATGCTTTGGGTTCTTGTATGGCTGGCTGGAAGAAAAGGGTTTGTTGCACCTTAAAGGGATCTAATGAAAGGTTCTCTTACTTTAAAGATGGGATTTGCTTTGTTTAGAAGCAGTAATGAAATGATACTTTTTAAATGGTCCAATAATATTGAGGTTTTTGTTTTTGTTTTTTTTTTTAATTTTTCCCTCTCACCTTTCAGGATTTGGTTGAGACTGGAGCTCGAAGTTCCAGAACAATATACAAAAGATTGTTTCACAGTATTTCCAAACTGGCCACATGTAGGAAATAGTGTAATTTTCTTCTCATTGTTTTTTCCGAAAAATTCTGCTATAAACCTCTAAATTTTTGAGTGCTCCTCTGAATTGAACCTGAAGTCTAAACTTTGAGATGTTAATCTATTACTTACAACTGTGGGTCTTCCTGCTAGAAGGCAGAGCACAGAGTGAGCAGATCTTTTATTCTTTCATCCCTAAATTTCTGCGTTTAGAAACTTTCTAATAACCCTATAACTGCGTTGTCACTTATTATCTGGGTGTTCCTGAAAGAACTGAAAAAACTTCCAAACTTGCCTTTAGTAGCATCCATGCCTCCCACAGCATAAAGTGCACCCACTGTAGACTTCCTAGGTTTAGTTCGAGGACTCTGCATCATGGACCTTCTTTCCGGTAGGAGATGATACTTCATAGCTTCCATAAGAAGTTTCTGACACTCAAGGTCATGCGTGAACATTGGGCTATTTTCAAGATCTGCTAGTAACTGAGAAATAAAACTGATTGATCTATACTCATTTAAATAATAAAAGATGGGATACAAATTAATATCTGAAACAAAATCACAGATCTAATTATCTTGGGTCCATCTTTCATTTGAGCTTTGTCATAGTCCAAATAAATTATCTGATGCAAAATAATGTAAATATAAGAATATATAATGTAAAAAATATAATGTATATACATAATATAAATATAAGAAAATAAAATCTTTAAAAGGCTTTTATTTACTCATATGAACAGCCACAATCTTGCTCCCATTGAAGTCAATGGCAAAACTCCTTTTGACATGACTAGAAGCAAAAGCTCATCCATTATAATAAAGGAGGCAACTTTACTAATAGAGGAACTAATTAAAAGTCTGTGTGTCTTTTTAAAAATAAATATATGCCATATCGATATCCAGCCTGCAACTGTAGAACCTTATGCTCTTTGGGAACCTACATGCAGTGTTGGAATCTAAGTTTGATCAAAGAAGAACAGGAGGACTTGTGGCACCTTAGAGACTAACAAATTTATTAGAGCATAAGCTTTCGTGGACTACAGCCCACTTCTTCGGATGCATATAGAATGGAACATATATTGAGGAGATATATATACACACATACAGAGAGCATAAACAGGTGGGAGTTGTCTTACCACCTCTGAGAGGCCAATTAATTAAGAGAAAAAAACTTTTGAAGTGATAATCAAGCTAGCCCAGTACAGACAGTTAGATAACAAGTGTGAGAATACTTACAAGGGGAGATAGATTCAATGTTTGTAATGGCTCAGCCATTCCCAGTCCTTATTCAAACCGGAGTTGAATTGTGTCTATCCCCATCTTCTCCC